TAGCACCTCCCCAGTTGGAGATGCTTTTATTCATACTTCCCTTGGGCATTTGTCTATTCAGGTCAAATGTGAGGTTCACAACTTGAGAAGAAAAAGAAAAACTGAAAGGGGAGAGGAAAGGGATGGGAAGACTTGAACAATAATGCCAAAGAGTATACAAATCAGAAAATTGCAGCTTCCTTTGAATGAGGGAATTGGATGAGAAGACTTGTTCAAATTTGGTATATTTGATTATGGAAGAATGACCGAGTGAGTGGACCACTTCTGGGATCATCCAAAATGGCACTAGTTTCAAATAATGCGGTCAATAAATAGGAATTATATATATTATCACAGAGTCTTTATGAAAGTGAGATCTTATTTCACAAACTATAGCAAGGACCTAAGGAGAACCAACCAATGAGGTCTTCAAAATTCCCAAAAAAAGCAGCTCAGTGCCATAGAAACTTTTAAGAAAGAGCTCATATATGAATGGCTGGAAAATTGAAAATCCATTGAAGGCTTTTATATAATATGTGGTTACATCTTCTGTGCTCCTCCTTGCTGCTCATCACAACAGCAATAATATTTTCCACAGCAGAAGACATAAGCACATTTCAGTCCATTGCAGATGGTGAGACCGTAGTCTCAACAGGGGGAACCTTTGAGCTTGGATTCTTCAGCGCTGGTGCTTCAAAAAGCCGATACGTGGCGATATGGTACAAGAAGATACCGGTTGCCACCATTGTATGGATTGCCAACAGAGACACACCCCTCACAGGTTCATCAGGTGTACTCAAGGTAAGCAGCCCTGGAATACTTGTCCTTGTTGACCAAAAGAACACTACAGTTTGGTCTTCCAACACATCGAGTTCTGCACAGAATCCAGTGGGAAAACTTTTGGATTCGGGAAATCTTGTTGTGATAGATGGCAATGATAATAATGACACGGAGAAATATTTATGGCAGAGTTTTGATTACCCAGGTGATACATTACTACCGGGTATGAAGCTTGGTAGGAACAAAATCACAGGTTTCAATTGGCATCTTACACCATGGAAAAGCCCCCAGGATCCTTCTCCAGGAAATTATACGTATCAACTTGGTCCTGATGGATACCATGAATTAATTGTGAGGGAGGGTTCTGTTATAAAGTATCGGACTGGACCATGGAATGGAATCCAATTTAGTGGGATGCATAATTTAAATTCAGACCATACAAACACATATGGTTTTGTGTTGGATGATGATGAAGAAGTATATTATGGTTATAAGCTTCTCAACAGTTCAATTCTTTCAAGGCTGGCTTTAACTCAAGATGGGCTTCTGCAAAGCAACACCTGGAGTGTTGAAACTCAAGGTTGGGTCCTTTATCTAACAGCACAGGTCGATATGTGTGACAGCTATGGACTATGTGGTCCAAATGGTGCATGCAGGATTGAAAACTCCCCAGTATGTGGCTGCTTGGAAGGATTTACACCGAACTTTCGACGAGACTGGGACTTTGTGGATTGGTCTTATGGCTGTGTGAGAAAGACTCCACTGAATTGCAGTGGAGACATCTTTAAGAAGTACTCTGGGATGAAATTGCCAAATACAGAACAATCCTGGTATAACTCAAGTATGAACCTCAAGGAATGTGAGATGATGTGCATGAACAGCTTCTGCTCCTGCACTGCTTTTGCAAATTTGGATGTCCGGGATGGAGGAAGCGGGTGCTTGCTGTGGTTCAGCGACCTGATTGATATAAGATATTCCACTGGAAATGGGCAAGATGTTTACATAAGAATGGCTGCATCAGAACTAGGTATGGAATTATCTTGCTGTTTAAAACAAAGTTTGAAAGGAAAAGAAAAAAAACCAAGTAAAAAGAAGAAAGAAATCTTCCAACAGTACATGTGCCTAAAGGCAGTGTAGAGAGGAACAAAATAAAGCCAGAAAACTTTTTACACAATTAGAAAAATATTTCTATGGAATTGTCTCAGAAACAATACAGTACATAATTTCTTCTTAATTGATCTCTGACTCCTCGAGTTTCTGCTTTCAAATACTTCATTCCTAGATCAAGGAAACAATACAGACACCAATGCTAAAACCTCAAAATCCAATGTGAAAAAAGTGAGAATCATAGTAACCAGTACTGTGTTGTCTACTGTACTGCTGATCCTGGGGCTAACATTGCTATTATATGTGCGGAAGAAGCAGCACCAAAAAAATGGTAAGCTATTTAATTTTGAACTATTCTGCCCCTCCATCTTCTATGTAGGCTCAGTTCTATAGGGAATTTTTGCTGTTGCTCCTTTATTTTATAAGCTAGGTAGTTCGGTTTCAGTTTCAGTTCCAGGTTACATTATTTACTTCACTGAATACTTCACAGGAAAACCGAGGCCCAGCCAAAAGGAAGATCTGGAATTACCATTATTTGACTTGGCTGCTGTTGTTTGTGCAACCAATAGCTTTTCAAACGACAGTAAACTTGGAGAAGGCGGTTTCGGATCAGTCTTTAAGGTAAAGTCATATGTAGTCCTCCCTACAGTGAGCTGAAAGTTTCCACTCGTTTCGGCCAGGACCATGGATACAAGTAGTATATTGAACGTTTGCAAACTACAGAGTATGAATTTTGGTCATGATATGTGGCTGATGGATTTCAGGGTACACTGAAAGATGGACAAGAAATAGCTGTGAAAAGGCTCTCAAAACATTCTACACAAGGACTCAATGAGTTGAAGAATGAGGTTACACATATTGCCAAACTTCAGCACAGGAATCTAGTGAAGCTTTTAGGATGCTGCATTCAAGAAGATGAAATGATGCTGATCTACGAGTTCATGCCTAACAAAAGCCTAGACTTCTTTATTTTTGGTTTGACCACTCAAAAACCTTCTTCAGTAGTTCACTTCTCTGTTGGTTTGCAAGGTGTAGGGTGGGACTTTAACCATCTGTTTCTTGCCATATGCATTTTTCTGCCTCTCTGCGTCCAGTGTGCACATAAGGAATTTGTTAGCTTGATTTACTTTGTTGGAATATTCCCTAATAATTTAAGTTTTTAGAGTAAAACAGTTGTATGACTGTTGACACATCCTTTTTGCTTCTTTTTTGAGAGTTTTTTCCTTTTCAATTAGGATTTAGCTCAGAGAATAAAAATATGTCTTGTTGTGTGTTTGAGTATGATCAAAACTTGATTATGCTAGCATGATGGACATTTTAACATTGGTGAACTGAACTATGCTATTTTGCAGATCAAAGAAAAAGCATGATGCTAGATTGGCCCAAGCGCTTTGACATTATTAATGGAATTGCTCGGGGGCTCCTCTATCTTCATCAGGATTCTAGACTGAGAGTAATTCATAGAGATTTGAAAGCGAGTAATGTTTTATTAGACAGTGGATTTAACCCAAAAATCTCAGACTTTGGCCTGGCAAGAAGTTTTGCAGAAAATGAAACAAATGCAAAAACCAAGAAAGTGGTTGGAACATAGTAAGTATATATATATATATATATATCACAAAAGAACCAATACATACATATGGTATACTTACTTTGCTTATTAAATTAGTTCTTGATTGATTGGTTTGTAGTGGTTACATGTCCCCAGAATACGCAATTGATGGGTTCTACTCGATAAAATCTGACGTCTATAGCTTTGGTGTGTTGGTGCTAGAGATAGTGAGTGGGAAGAGAAATAGAGGATTCACTCATCCAGGCCACAGCCTCAACCTTCTAGGACATGTTAGTGTCAACTGTCATGCCCAAAAATATTTACTCGTTGCTTGTTTCTGTTTCTTCTTTCAATCAATCACAACTGTTTTGAACTTTTGATTAATTCTTTTAGGCATGGATGCTATACACAGAAGGCAGGTCCATTGAAGTGCTAGATACATCGGTAGGGGACTCCAGTGATCCACTTGATGTTGTGAGATCAATTCATGTAGGTCTTTTATGTGTGCAGCGAAACCCGACAGATAGGCCGAGCATGCCAGCTGCAGTTCTAATGTTGAGTGGTGAAGGGTCGTTGCCTCAACCTCAAAAACCTGGTTTTTATAGTGAAAGGGATCTCAATGAACTCGAAGTCGATCCTTCTTCTAAAGCATTTTCAGCTACTGAAGTCACTTTTACACTAATGGAGGCTCGATAAACGATATGTCATGTTGGTGTGTTAATCTGGTGCTTTTGAAGTCAGTTTGAAAGTTAAATATAATTAAGAGATTCCCAACCCATGCATTAGCAAATGCACCCTCTAATTAAAAAAAATAAAAATTATTTGGAGTTGGAGTTCACACTACAGAAATACAGATGCTAATACAAGAACTAATATAAAAGCTTAAATGAATTAGATTTTTCTCATGAGGTGGTGTTATATTTTAATTAATTAATTTTTTTTTGTTCTTTGGTGGGTTGGTTTTGTGTTCCTATGCAAAAGGAGGAGACAAATCTTTTTTTTTTTTTTTTTTTTCTCTCAACAAACAAGAGTGCATGAGCAAATGTCAAAATCTATAATAGAAATGCAATATCCAAAGAATGAAAAGCAGTCCAACCAAGAAGAACCATCAATGAATGAATATTGAATGCATAAAGATTTATCAAATCTCAAGAAGAACCAAACCAATCAATTTATTGCTCAAACAAACCAGAAATAAATAGTCAGAATTTGAGATTGGGGCCTAAAAACCGAACCTTGTTATTGGCAAGACCATAGAAACTCCATGATAAGACAGCTCCACCCTGTCGTCAATGCGAAGAGAGAAGGGAATAAGGCGGAGCTCGCAGAGGGAGGAATTGTCGTTGCCGTTGGTGTAGTGAGTATATTTAAAGAGTATAGCCGGCTATACTCTTTATAAAGGTTAAGCTCTTTTTTTTTTATTTTAATTACAGAACTGTTAGATAAGTTAAATTTCTAATAACACTTAGAAATTTAACTTTTTTAAACACAGATTGCAATATTTTTGATCTAGCTCACTACCAGATTTGACTAAATTTAAAAAAGGAAATCAAGTTGGAAAGCATTTTCCATCAGTTTTTAGAAGAGAGTGGTAGGAGGAGGACTTTGATCCACCAAGTCCCGCCGGTTGCTGAGATGGCATTTGACGACTCTTCTTGTGTCAGTTCAAAATCCAAAATTTCCACCTCACCAAGTTTTCGTTATCATCACATCATCAAATCAAATGTTCCTTGTAAATTGTAATTAAAAAAGAACACCACTGTTCTCACATAACCTCTCTTCTCTTCTCTTCTCTTTCCCTCTGTAAAACCCTAATCTTCCTTGCATTAAAATTTCTGGGTTGGCTTCTTCAACATTTTCTTTGAATAAGGTCAGTCTTCTCTCTCTCTCTCTCTCTCTCTCTCTCTCTCTCTCTATTCTTGGGCTTGTTTTGATAATTAGGAATTTGTCATGTTCTTAAACCATTTGGTTACGTTACATGAAATAAAGGAAACAAATTTGTCCGGTTTTGTCACTTTTTGAAATGAATTGCTTCATGGGTACTATAATTGAAGCTAAAGTTGGATGGAAAATTGTTGGCAACTGGTTAAAAGGTTCAGGGAAAATAAATTTTGAAACAAAAGCAACATTTCAACGGTTGGATAAATCTCAATGGAGAGGCTCATCGTTGCACCAGGTTTTTTCTTATATAGATTTTCACTTTTTCTGTATCAAGCCACCTTTAGGGAATTATGGTTAAAAGAAATATGGGTGCAAGCTTGTTCTGGTGTCTCCGGTCTATGCTCTAGCATATAGTCTTCAGTTTTGTAGCTCTTTACCTTTTCTTTTTCTTTATTTTTCGAATCAGACAGTCCTTTACCTTTTACCTTTCACCACACAGTTACGTTTGTGTTAAGTTTAGATGACATTGTGGCAGATATTGGTTAGCACCTTCAATTTTCTGACTGTAATGGAGCTTATTATATCATCCTGTCATATATAAATGTAGATGCTTTGATATTCAAAACTTAATGAAAACAATTTTATTTCTTTAAATAACTTTTATGTGTTTTGATCTTTCTAGTTAAGTATGACTCACATATGTCAAATGATGTCCCCACGGCATGCGACGTACTGGAGGATGAGAAGCAAGACTTGCTTTAAGGACTTTAGGAGAGCGTTTTTTTCTATATAAAATGATGTATCTATTTGTATGTGTATGCTTCATGTGCATTTTTTACAATACGTAGATGGTTCAGTTCTTGTGGTTCCAACTTAAGGGTCAAGGGATTTCTGAATACTCATTAAGGAAAAAAAAGAAGAAAAAGATCTTGCTTGATGAATAATGATGTCTTTTTTTCATTTTATTAATTTGTGAGTTATGTCAATGGTAACCTATGCAGTTGATTGCTACATACCTCTCTTCAAAATCAGGTAGCAAGTATACCAGAAGGGTTTCATGGCAGGTAATGGCCTGCCATCTCTGGGTCGTGTGAAGCTAACTGATCTCGCTCCTGCTGAAGGCCTTCCATCAGATTCATACAAACTATCTGTTTCAACTTTGTCACAGTCACTAGCTCAATATTCTGCTGCCATCATTCAATTTCCAGTAAGTGATGGGGCTCTTTTGAGATCTGGTTTAGATTCGGCTCGCCTCTACTTCCACCAAAAAGCATCATACCCAGCTGCAGATATGGTTAATACCAATGACCCTCGTGACTGGTGCAAGACTTCCGGTTATTGTGCAGATCCTCAATTATGGCTAGAAACCTATGATTACAGACCTGGACTCACTCCCTTAGAGCCCAACAACACAATGGAATTTCCTCCAGCAGGTTTACCAGATATATTTTCACTGCTTGGAAAGGCAGCTCGGGATATATTGGATGCTATCAGCTTCTATTTGAACTTGCGGAGCTCACCATTTACTAAAGTACTTGATAATGTTCCCTTAAGAAATGGGGAAATATCTTCTTCAGTACTGTCTGTCTGCTGTCATACAAGACCATCATTTCAGGGAGCACAACACCATAATTTTACGACTCAAGAGGATGGCCAGTTGGTTATGTTTTCTGACCATGAGCATCAAGTTGACAAAAGCTTGATATCTCTTGTCAAGTCAGACAAGGCAGGTCTACACATAAAGGACTTTCAGGGTCGTTGGGTTCTTGTGGATGAAGATCTTGGTCCCCAAGAAGCTATTGTTTACCCTGGCCTTGCACTCTATCAGGCAACTGCTGGATATGTCAACCCTGCACTGCAAAGAACAGAGACCACTAATATTCAGAGCAACTTGTTTGGCCGATGTTCTTTGGCTTTTAAACTCATGCCTAAATCCATGACCAGTCTCAGTTGTTCAGAGATGAGAGATGCTGGTCATGGGGTTGAAGCTCAGTTCCAGCTGCCAGTTCCGGTCGATGACTTTATGCAAAGATCTCACCCAACCGATCAACTTTTCAACAGACACAGTTTTCAAAGTTTCAATTTCCATGCAACGCAAGATGGTATGCTGCATTTAATCTTCTTTACCATTGGTTGCTTGTTTATATACCATAGATTAATTTCATGAATGCTACTTTTCATATTTTTCATAACAGCTACTTTGGTTGTCTGTTCTTCATTGTTCCGGCTTGTCATATATGCGTCAAAGATTTTTTTTCTTTCTTTTAGACAGGACTGGTTTTTCACTGAATCAGGTGGGCACACCAAAAATAAGTTTAACCAGTGAATTTGGCTTCTAATTTTTCTTTGTAGGGTGTTGTATAATTGATATTCTGTTATCATTAACATTTGATGCTATTTGATTTTAAGTGAAAGGAAAGAAAAAGGGAAATATAATCATAGACCTTAGCTTTTGGGCCTACTTAATAGTTTTTGCATTCCTGTTGTCAGAAACAAGGATCTTCAATCTAGTTCTATCTTCTAGAAATTCTCTCCATCTCATGAATCCTGTTGATGTTGGATTGCGTGTGTTCTCTGTGTGAGTAGCTCTTAGTGAGAAGCTTTTAACAGCAGGTCCTTGGATCGATGAAATGCTGGTACAGGATCTATGAAGCCTTTGTTAAGGAGGAGGAAGAATGATTCAAGATCAAAACCTCTGCCACCTTCCAAGAGATTAAGGCTTGAGGCCCAGAGAGTTCTGAAGGAAAGGGTTCAGGACATTGCAGACAAGAAGGGAATCAAGCTGAGGTTCTGCAACCTGAAGGAGTGTGAGAATCATATTCACACACTTGATAGCCCATGTGCCAATATAAGAATGGAGATTGGGTGGCCACATGGAGTGCCATTTGTTCATCCCCATGATCTACCCAATAAGGCAAAGATTGGTTTCCTTGAAGCATATGAACCTGGTTGGACAGCTACTCATGAAATGGAGTTAAGTCTAACTGAACCAGGACAGGCCAGTCAACACTCGGTTAATTGTAATTGTAAGTGCCATTCAAGAAATCAAGTAAAAAAGTTTGTATCTGAATAACCGAGCATACTTGCACATTAGATTCCTCTCTTTGGTTCAATGCTTCGCAGACAATCTCACATGCTTTCTCTTCATCCATGTTGCTGTGAAGTTATTATAGGATGTATATGCTAATGAAACCTAGTGTCTGAAGATTGTGTTAGAAATAGAAGTTATATACTTATCTTTGTGGTAGCATTAGTAAAGGAGAAAAAGTTTTGACAATGGTGAGACTTGTTGTGCAGTAGTTCTGTGGATAATTATTAATACGACACAGAATTGAACAGTTAGTTTTGTGTTGTATGTCTTTCCCTAATTTAGGTCATTTGGGTTGCACCTTTGTCTTTTCCCTATTTCCGCTGATGGTTACTATGTGAACTAATATTCCTCATCTTCTTCTGCAGGAACTTTATGGCTTGCCTTCCCTGGCCGACCTTTAGTTCCTGTAATTTCCAATACATGGCCACCAGAAGCATGTGGTCCTCCTTCACATGTGATTCTCATTGGATGACAATCGTTACTCATACTGCTCATACTCCAGTTTTCGGTTTTGTAAATAGGCATTCTTGAGAAAAGTTTATGTTCCTTCATTTCAATAGTTGACAAAGTGAACAAGATGGATCTGGAACCTTCATCTGCTCTTATATCAATTGTGCTGCACTCTAAAAAGGCAATGGAATCAGAGAAGAGCTGAGGATCATATGGATAGGAGTGGAGGGGGATTTTGGAATTTTATTTGCACCTCCCATATCATGTTGGTTTTGATGCTGTAATACTACAGTGTTATTCGAATTTCGAATGCTTTCCAGAGGCAGGAAGTGTGAGTTATAGATCAATAAAGAGAGAAAGCAACTGAATCTTGCTGTAAATTTATCATGTACTCTTTTTTGTTGTATACATACAGCTTCCCTGATCCACTGGTCAGTTTAATGGCAGAGCACAATAAGAAGAATATGGAAATACCAATTAAAATTGAATGTCCTTCAGAAGGAAAGTATTAAATATCTTGGAGATCAATAAACTCTTTTGCAGAATTTTCATACCAAACCAAGTTTTCATTGGTTCATATACAAATGCATGTGGCATGCGTCTTAAGGAGATCATTTTTCTTGATATTCAAATTTAACAAGGAAAAGTACAGGGTGATTAACAAATAGGGTTAGATGAAAATGCTACTTATATATCAACGTAAATAAATAAATATGTAAAACAGCACTGACTAGCAGTGTTTCAAGATTCTTAACGTGGTCAATTACATATACAAGCCTCGGGCCTTTCCGAAGCCCTGAGGAAACAGAAGCACTCCTTAGAACCATAACTAGAATGTAAAGTCGCATTGATGCTTGCACAATTACACCGTGCCTATTGCTCCTCTCATAATTGGCATCCAAAGCAATATCAGGCTGGCCAAGAAACACTGTTCAGTACCATTCTGTCACTCTGCAAGTGAGACAGTAGAACAAGAGTCCAAAACTGGCAGAGGTTCAATGAGCCGCTCTAGCCATCCAATGCACCCATTAGCACTCAGTTTGATTTGTCGGGCAAATTAAAGGCCTTTCTCAGCCTCGAAATGGTGGCTGGTTTTCGAAAGGCAATTCAACGGGCGTAGCATTAGCATAGAATTCTTCCAAGTTGTAGAAAGCTCGCTGTGGCGGAAGAAATATATGAATAACAACATCACCTGGAATTAAGACACATCAAGAATTTCGTGTAAGATCAAGAATTCTTAAAGAACTTTCAGCATGCAGGCTTAAAAATTTCTAGAAAGACACAGCAACCGCATATTGCCAGACCTCTATTTGTGCAAGAGAGAGTGAGAGTTAAATTCCTGGTATTGACAACATTATAATTCTCAAGGACCCCAGCGTCAATAGGTTGGTTTGCTTCGATATGACAACCAAGAAATGAGTCCTAAAGATTAAAAAGCCTTATATGTGGATCATAGTACACAGGTATCATCCCAGTTGACCATAATTAAGTGAACATGTAGTTTGCAAAGTCAAGTTGTCAATGTCGTCCAATTGCAGCTAGAAATTTGAAGGAAATTTTTCACAAAACTAACCTGAAATTTACTTAAAGAAAAGAATATTTTGACTGGCTAGGATTATTGCATAACAAGTTTCATCTGAGTGAGTCAAAAGGATCATCTAAGAAAGCTATAGACGGCTTGGATATAACCATATGGAAATAGTTGCTCCCGCATCAATCAAATAATATGAATTGATTCATATTCGCACCATGAATGACAATTTCAGACAATGGGGCCACATCCCAGTTGCTGATAACCATGGGTAGATTAGCAATATACAAGATAATAAAAAGAAAGAACAAGGGCAGGTCATATATTAGAATCTTCATCAATGTATATCTAAATTGAGTGAAAGGTCACACATCCCATATTCCCAATCACAAATGCATAACTGTGAGGATAAGTTTGTTCCAAACTAATCCACAATTAATAAGTTTCACTACATTGTAAAGGAATAATACATACCAAAGTCCAACAGGGTCCAGGAGTTGGGTTTTGAGTCCCCAGATGGAACTCTTCCATACTTTGTCTCTGCCAGATCTCTTATCCTGGACCTAAATTGCGGCATAAAAAGTCGATCAAATATTGCTTCCAAGTCTGTCTCATAATTTAGCATGCAAATCGAACATAAACAATCATAAACTTAAATGTGAAGTGCATACCCAATTGCGTCAATTTGCGGACGAGAAAATGCCGTGGCAATAATAAAAAACCGAGTCCAATACACAAGAGGCTTCACAAATAGGACCTTTATATCTCCTGCTTTTACATCATTTGCAACACTGGCCACTTCTACAGCAACTAAAGAGATTGCAGGAGATTATTAATAAGTTGCATACAGTAAGCATATCAAGCATTTTGAAAGTTTGGTTTCATACGGCCAAAGAATAATACATGAAAACTGGAAAGAATATTTATATCAACACCTATGCAACATTATGGTCAAAATTGAGAGGAAAACAAAATATTCTACATCTGTCACACTGCAAAGAGTCTTTGCTCAAATTGATTGTGATATGAACTCACATGATAAGCTTTCAGCATCGTCATCAAGCTCTGTGCTAGGAGACGTCCTGTCGTTGCTTTGATATAACACTTTTCCATATCTATCAAACAAGTCGTCAAACATATCGTCGGTATCTTCACTTACATTCTGCAACATGTCATTGATTAGCAATAAGCTGTCAAGGTTCAGACTGACAAAACGCATTTTACAAGATTCTGTAAAAATCGCTTACAACTTTTTTTTTCTTTTCCTTTAGGTAAATTTGGCATGGACCAATTCGTAGTGGAACGCTAAAACTGGCCAAAATTGATAACCATACCCTTTGGCTCCCTCAACAAGCAAATAAGAAGTCAAGGTCTCACGCACAACAAGGAACATAAAGGAGATATTTTCTCAGCCAGGTTTTCACCAAGAAGTTTTTGATATACTAAGTCTAAAAGGAGAAAACGGAGCAATCTATATTAAGGAATTTCAGTGAGACCACAAGTGAAATTCATAAGTGTTTGTATGACAGATTCAAATACAACTAAAGATATCGAAGGCAGAATGGAAAATCATTGTGGCTTTTACTTGAGTAGAGCATCTACAAGATAAGCTTCAAATATTCATTCTAATACAACACCAAACCAAAACTTGTTTCATAACTTTGTTCTTTTTGGAACAAAACAGCTACACAATTCGAAACCAAAACCAGCTCACATGAATTTGAGAACAGAAAAACGAAATAACGTACCGAAGCGAAACTATCTTCAGCTTCTTTCCCACGAGCCAAACGCAATGTTCGCAATTCCCTTGACTTCAAAGTTAGGTTCTTGCTTCTGGGTTCTTGCCAAAAACACTTGCAGTGGAACCATTTATGAGAAAAAGGCTTGGTGGAACTTTGACAGAGCTTCGGTTCAAGTCGACCCAGTTTCTGGAGGGAATCGAATCGGTAGCCGGGGCCAGCTCCGGCGAAAGACAGCGTAATGAGCACCGCCATTGTAGCTCTATTGGTACGATTGCACAGAATTTTGAAGACGAGAGAAAATATACTCGTTAGATGGATAGCAGCAGCAGGTATCTAATAGTATCAAAGCATATCTGGGTTTGGGAACTTTGGGCTTTGGGTTGGGTTTTACCCAACTCCACTCTACACTGTGCTCCTGAGCAGCCCAATTTCTCATTTCGTTTTTTCTTTATTTTGGTTTAAATAAAATTTGGTTTTCTTCTTTATATTTTTTTTTGTTAAAGAACAAGAAAAGAAAAATAATTTCACTTCAAAAGGTAGTAACTACATTCCTAATAAACTTCCCTTTTTTCTTTCTATTTTTTCTAAAACGCAGTGCATCATCGTGTATGAGATAATAAGATAAATTTTAAATACGTGCAATCACTCGCAAGGCATATATATCATGTTAATCTAGGTGATTTGTGTTCATGACAGTTTTAAATGCTAAGTAGCTAAAATCACGACCTGTCCAATCAGTGTTTCGACGGTCATGAAGGATCCATCCCTAATAACTAGTAGGTTCATGGCCATGTTCTTTTTCTTCAAAAAGTTAGGCCAGATTCTATATTTCAAAAGCAAAATACGTTTAATTTCAATGGGAAAGTAATCAGGTTTGTCATTCACCATCCATCGCACAAATTCACTTTTTCTCCGTCATGTAATGAGTGTTGTGCGCTCTTTTGAGAAATGCTATACAACGAAACGAGTTCACTTGTAGCTTCAAGGTTAACTTACATCTTTCGGGAAATGAAGGCTAAAACTAATGTAGCAAATAACTTTAATGTTTTTATGTTTTGGAGTCCCCATAATATTGGCACAGTTTGACCAACTTTGGGAAAAACAGAGGACAATCACTCTCCTTTCATTCAATCAGATTGCCTTAATTTTATTGGGATGGAAGATTTTGGAGAATTCAACCATGCAATTCATGACACCACCTTGCTTTAAAAAAAAAAATTCATATCATACACATCTGTTTATACAAAAGATTTTTACCAATGTTCAATCAAGCAACATACTTCGTTCCCACATTATGTGGATACAGTCATGGAAATACACAAGTTAAGCAACTAAAAGATTAGCTCAAAATAGCACAACTGGGCCCTGTTGGCTCATAATCAACACGAAAAGAAATATGAACTCCGAGAATATCAGTTACTCTAGCGAATCTTGATACTACACATCCATGGCTACTGAGTGCAAGAGGCAGGGGGAAGAGCTACCGCTTTTTTCTCGTAAAGACCTACAACAAGCACCCTCCCATTAGAACAAGCTAAAACCAATCACCAACAATCCACCTAGCCCGCAGAAATCATGAGCTATCTTTTTTAAGCTACTGCATAAGAACAGGTATTAAATCTAAATAACGTAGCCCAACGGTGTTTTCAATACGATTAGATATGGATTTTTATCAATGAAACCAAAATAAGATTTATAAAAGAATAAAGATAAAGATTTATGGAGAGAGGGAGTACTTACCTATGGCTTACGAGGAGGTGAACTGCTGCTGCTGCTCTTGCTACTGCTTCTTCTCCTCAAAGACCTGCATAAAACACCCTCCACCATCAGAACAAGCTAAAGCCATGTACCAGATCTTTTCAAAAACCAAACAACCCACCAGTCCCACAGAAACATGAGAATTTTTTTAAGTTAAAAAACAAGTAGTAAGCACAAATTTCGTAGATAAACATGCATCCAATGAAACTATAGAAAAATGCTCAGACATAAACAGATTACGAATAAGACATTTATAGGTATTCATGACAAATAAAATACAATAAAGATGAAAGGGCATAGGCAAATACAAGCAAATTTATATGATGGTGAGATCCTAAAATAGATTCGAACGAATATGGAGTGAAACTCATTCAGATCAAAACTTTAAAAAGA